TGGGGAATTTTTATGATTACACATACATAATCCTTAAATTAGAAGGGAAATTTGTCTAACATGTCTGGTAAACCTTCCTTTTTTCCTTCCTTATCCAATCAGTGTGCTGTGGGAACAACAGGCCAGAAATCTATCTCTAGAGTGATTGAATACTTGGAACACTGCTAGATACTCACGTTCTGCAACAGGCACTCGAATGCTGGAGCTCTACCCTTTACACAAAGAAAGAAGTTGTGAAAAGTCCTTAAGGATGCATCAAGAGCATTCATCAGTCTCATTTGTGTTTGGATTTTTAAGGCTACCTGGTCTCTTAACCACATACACTCAGCGTTTTGTGAAAGACAGTTACCACATCAATCTGCAACTATCAAAAATGAGGGGAAAAACATCTGAGGAAAGTAAAGAATTAATGATGTTTATACTAATGCAGTGCAGTATTTAAATATATTTGGCAGGGTTACTCTCCCTCTTTATTTTTCTGGCTTTGTTTGTGACAACTTTAAAGGGGAAAAACTTGCTGCTGGTAGTGCAACTGCTGTTTACTGTTGAGCCACTGTTTTTCATGCCAGCCAGGTGCAAAGGCAGCTTTAGCTACTGAGGTATCAAATCTTCTAATAAAGATGCTCTGGGCAGCAGCATTGCTCTGATTTGAGTTTAATTTGCTCTTGCTTTTTAAAGAGATTATTCCAAAATCATAAAAAATAGAAAATTTTTAAATACTTTTTGTGATTTTAACTACTGTCTATATTTAAAATGTGTTGGAATCCAAAGAGGTTGAGGCTTGGATAGTTTATTTTTTATACTGTTTTGATTGAAAATTGGGTTGTTGGAAACTACTTCTCAGTTTTTAAAAAATGTCGTGGCCTACGTACTGTAAACTGATTGACCATAACACTTCATAGTTCTAAGAGAGGCATGCAGGAGAAAAGAAATCCCCTCCCAGCTGGTAGCTGTGTCTATATTTTTTTAGAAATGCAGTAACTGTAAAACGAGCCCTGTTGGAAGAATAGTGTGAAACAATGTTCAATGCCAGGGTTGTTTATACTTCGTAATTAGCAAAAACGTTTAAATGCTGTTGATCTTGTTTCAAGAAAGAAACATGGAGCTAAAACACCAATGGGGATTAATGTTTCCAGTTAACATAATCTTTCTATTTCTTCTTTAGTATTGTGCAGGTAAATGAATACAATACAAAGCCTTAAATAGCTGAATATAGCGAAGATTTTGTTCAGTGTGGGGTCTAGTTCACAGCAAAGGATTGTGTTGAGACTTTAATGGAACAAAACTCCCTGCAAAATACTTTTTTGTTGTTGTTGAGGTTTTGAACATTAGTGACTTCTCTTGCACTCATCGTTGTGACTGACAGAATAGCTCATGATTTTTATTAAGCTGGTCTTGAATACTCACAAAAGTTCTTGAGACATTTGCACCACACTTTTCACATTACCTGTGTAGGTAGTTGCATCATGTTACTTCATTGAATTTGTAAAACTTGAAGCCATAAAAATATTAATTCATGTATAATGAGGGGTGGGAGAAATAACAGAAAATCTAACCTGCTTTTTAGATCTTGTGTTATCTCCATGTATAAAGTTACAAACTTGTGCTTTTGTATCAGTGCCAGCTGTAAATTTTTTTACATACAGTGGCTGCCTTCTATGTCTTCCTATTTTTGATAATGCAGATTGTTGGGAATTCAGTAAGGAAGTAACTGATTAGAAGCAAAAACCTATATTGGTCCCGCTTTTTATTTTTTTTTCCCTCATCACCTTAACCAAGGCACCCTTATAATGTACCAGTGTAACTTAGAAAAGATGCTGAGGCTGTGTTTGCCTTTGGATGGAGCACCTTTCATATGAAAGGAAGAGCAATTTATTAAAGCTGTACTTGTAAATTATTTTTGAGAAGCAGGATTTACCGAATATATTTTTTGCATTTAGTTTTAACAATTTAGAGCAATGGCTTCCACTTTTAGTTGGACTTCATATAGGTTTAAGTTAGGCTTTTTTGTGTATGCGCAGTGGCAAGGCATGATTAAAATAGATGCAATGATGGGGGATCAGGAACAACACTTCTCTGTTACACTGGTAATGATTCGAACGGGAATTGATTAAACACTTGTGTTGAAATAGTTTTTAATTAACAAGCACTGAAACATGCAGACTGTTTGGTTTTTTGGGGAGGGTGGGGGAGAAGCCACTCTGCAACCTGCAGTTTGTTTTCTTGTTAAGCCCTCATCAAACTCTGCATTTAAATGGGTACTTGAGGCCAACCTTCAAATTTAAAGTTTTAAAGTAACTTTTTTCCACTGTAAATATATATGTAAATAAGCGCAATTGGAAACTAGAACAGTAGAGTACTTTTCTGAATCCAATCCTATTTTTATTTTATACAGTATTTCTCAGCTGTGATCTTTGGAGCAAAAGCCAACGGCAGGAATAATAGTTTGTACCAGTTTCATGAAGTATGTCTTTTGGTTTTTGTAAATAATTTTAACTCGAATAAAAATTGCTACTTTCAATACATAAGATGCATGTAATGAGCATAGTTTCTTGATATCTGAGACTGTACCCATAACCACCCGAAAGAGCAAACAGTATGACTACCATCCTGAAATTACTCTAGGTATCATGCAGAGGCATTTAAATTATCAGTAGTAGTAATATCATCATCATCATCATCCTGCTGATATGCTAAATGTAGTAAGGATCAGAGCAAAACTCTCCATGGTCCCTCCCTTTAACATCAGGTTGCACATTTCCATCTTGTCTGCTTTGTGATCCTGGTGGCTTTGGAGAAGACCCTGGAGGATTCAAGGGAAGCAGTGAAGTACCATGAGTTGGTAGGTTTACTTGTCACTGGGCAGAAAATCAGCGTATGTGATCCATTCTTCCTAACAGAAGGCAGTAAACATTACCTGCTAATCGTTGCTTATCAAATGGTGTTTTCAGTAGCTTAGCCATGGTGACTGTAACATGTGTATCCAAGCTTTTTTGTGGAGAAAATTCCACCTGGCTGTCACACCCCACTCAGTTTGACTGCCATTGATAAAATACTGTTTCTCAATGGGTGTTAAGATCAGATATTAGACTGCTTCATACATGGTCCTTTCACATGTACTAATACTGATGGCAGAGAAAATACCTGTTTTAGCTCAGCTGTATTTTGTGCCCTAGATCGGGAGGGCAGCCTCTGGCCCACAGTCAAGCCCATGGAGGACTGAGAAGCCTATGCAGATCCTTCCCCATAGGGAAAGCAAATCCCCATGTGTATGGCCTGGACTGAGACAAGTGTGATTCATTATGGAGGACCTGAATGATGAGGGCAACTTGCCCTGCTGGCAAAAATTCTTGAAGCTACTTCATAAACTTTACACTTTATAAAGTTTGAGAGTGCTGGAAACTTTGCTCTCACCGTAAATCTAAGAGGCACTGAGAGGGATCTTCCTCTGCTTAAGCCCATATTGTACTTAAGCCCATACACTGTTGGCTGCAGCAATTCCTAGACATTTCATTTTCAGTTACATTCAAGGTAATTTATGGACCTATTAGAATTGCGAAGCTTTTTAATGGAAGCACACATTTATTTTGCCTACTAATGTTGAGCTTGTATTGATTCTGACACTTCCAATATCAGTGTCCTTGACCAGTGACTCTGATAGCAAAGATCCAACCTCTCTGTATTTTAATGGCTTTAATATCAATTTGAATTTTCTAGATTGTTCATCGTTTAAGTTACGATTTCTTCTCTCTCAGCTGTGCAGATGCCAAGATTCTGTGCTGGGAGTGGTTCACACTGCTAGTTAGAAAAAGATGCAGCTAGAATGGGGAAGCATGTTTCAGAATGAGATTTTTCTAGTGGCGCCTTTTGTGAATGCTCCCCATGCTAGATAAAATAATTTGGAGAGGTAATTTAATAGCAACTGTAGGCTAACTTGAAATTCTGCTTGACGGGTGAAGGATCACAATGCTTATGTAGGTTAGGCTGTTGATTATGTTTAACATAGGCTCAAATTCAGCACTATAGTGAACAGTTTCTATGCTACTCTTAGAAGAACTTACCTGTTATCCTGCTTTGTCTACTGTACAGTTTTCACAGGTATTAATAAGCTGGCTCTTAGTGTGGGTCAATCATGCATAAGCCATCTGTACTGCTTCTCAGAGTTGGAGGTCGATTATTCTTTCAGGTTGCTTATGTATGATATACATGATGAATGATACAGTCATAATTACGGTATCCTAGCACTACCACACTGACGCAAAATGTGAGGCATCAAGAGCACTGTTATAAATTGCTTGCATGCCTCTATGGAACAATGACTCTTTACTGTCCAGAGGGCTAACACTATGCCTACATATAGGTGCCGTGGTATTTAGGTGTTTAGTGCACACATTGGACTCAGTTAAAACACAAGTCCATTGGAGTAACTAATGTGATGGGTACAACCCAACTCTAGATTGCAACTGGCAGTAGACAGTGCAAAATCAAAAAGATCCTCCTCCCACCTTTAAATGCTGTAACATATGTAGAGAGAGCAAGCAACTTGGGAATGTTATAATTTATGTAAACATATGCACAGCTTTTCCATTGCTTACCGCCTAACAAACCCCCCTCCCCAAAAAAAACTCCCAGCAGGATATTAATGAAAAAACCATTGTTTAGTTTAAAGCTGCCTAAGTAGCGACTCAGGACTTTAAACAAAACAGCCTAGGTTTGTTTGTTTGTTTTTCTTAACAGCAGGGAACTTTTCAGTGCAATTTTGACACTGCTAGCATAACTTTAAAAAAAAAGTGGTCCTGGAGAAATTGACTTGAAAGCTTTTTAATCAATAAATTGGAAAGCCAGGTCATAACTCGCAATTTTCATTACAGCCCTGATTGAAAGTTAAGGTTAGTATAATGAATGTGCAAAGTGCAAAGGCTCAGTATCGTGCTTTCCACAGTAGTGAAGTTCTGCATATGTCAGTATCACACTCCAGGATGGGTAAAAACAAGCACATCTGGTGGAAAAAGCATTTTTATTTGTAAGAGCAATTAGATGGGTTCATTCTAATAGCAGGTGGCTTATTTTTGGATGCAGTGAAGGTGTTAGTGGCATTGGAGGTTGACACTTCAGCAGTAATTGTGCTGGTAGAAAGCAGCCTTGAAACTAGTCAAGTTTGCTTCTGAGCAAATAGTTTTCCTCTCAGCCCACCTTATGACAGAAGAATGAAAGAGTGCTCAATAACATTTTGAAAACAGCAGGATTAATTTAGAATTAAGCTTTTCTAGACATATTGAAATAATTCCAGTGTTCTGGAGTTGCAGTAGTAAAATTTTGGGAATATTTCTTCACAACAGAGTAAAAACATGTTTTCATATTCACCCCCCCCATGCACACACACATAACCCATGTACACAATTTCTCTACATCTTCATCAGGACATTCTTGGGAATGTGTGCTTTGTGTTTTCCTGACTTTCCAATATTTTGCGTAAAGTAGATGCAAAGCAGGATGTTGAGGATGCCCTTCCATTTCTGTAATGGCCTCATAGGCCCAACTGCCAGCCTTAATAGGGTCTAAATTTGAATTTATACCATGCTTTATAGAGTATTTATAGCCACCCAGTACCTCTGTAGAAGTCCTTATAAGTGTAAATTTGTCCTCATCGGGTGCATGAGGAAGGGCTGAGGATTCACCTCTTGGATTCCTTGCAGAAACAAAATTTGCACCTTGCATTTTTCCTGGTTTGCAAGTTGACACTCAGCAGTGTAGTGTTTTAAAATTGTTGGCTCTGATTTTTATTTAAGTTCCTCTCAGGTGACACTTGGAATCCTAGAGGGTTTTTTTTTTTTTTTTTTGCAGGCCTTATTCTTTCCTCTGATACACAAAATGATCATTTCTGAAAATATGCTGACAGTAGCACAGTGTTGGGAAGGCAAGTATAAGCACTTCCAGCAAATCCACTTAACTGGAACATTGTCTGGGGAAGTGCCGCCTTCAGCAGTTATGAAGGACCTTTTATTATTTTAATACGAGAACAAAAGCAAATAGCTTCCCTAATTCATCTCCGATTTTCTTTGAAAATGCACACTCTTGCTATGCCAAATTTCTAGAAGGCGAACACTCAATGTGGAAAAAGCCTAATGTTTAGACAACAATGCATCCCTAATGCAGCAAGTCATTCAGATATAATGGTGAAGGATTTCAAAGATGATGTGGTGGAAGAGGGGGTGCTTTTGTGTTTGGGATTCCCAGGTCTTTTTCTCATCCTTGTAATGCTGCAGCTTGGATTTTCAGAATATTCTGGCTAGCAATATGAAGTACAGTGGGGAGGAACCTGCAGTTTGTCAGCATGTTGTGTACGTAGGCCCTAGCATTTCGAAGCAAAATGATCTGTGTAACGGGACTGGGAGCCTGAGAAGTTTTGGTCCAGCTACTTCAGAGATGAGCAACATGTTGCTCTTTAGATACTTTGGACTGGAGCATCCATCACCCCTCTGCTCATTGGCCATGATGGCTGGGGCTGATGGGAGTTGTAGTCCAACATATCAAGCACTTCCATGCACAGTAGGACATTTAGCCTGCAGACATTTAGACATTTGTGTCCTGCCTTTCCAGTCAAAAGAGCAGAAGTACCTATATAAAAATTAGAGTCCAGTTTCTACCCACAGCCAGTGTGGCATCGTGGTGTGTTGGACTGGGGATCTGGGCGATGCGGATTCTAGTCCCCAATTGGCCATGAAGTTTACTGGCTGACTTTGGACCAGTCATGGGTTCTTAGCTTCGCCTACCTCACAAGATTGTTGTACAAGTAAAACATGCTGTGAGGGAAATAGGGGGCTATAAATGTGATGTAATACCAGTTCAGTGCAACTGTATAAAATACTATATAAAAAGTAGTATTTGATAGTTTTTTTTAAAAAAAAATCTATGCATAAGAAGCATTCAAAAAAGCATACAGCAAAATATACACTTTGCTGCCTGTCAAAAGGTGAGCAGAGCGAGAACCAGGCTCTCTCGTGATAGTGATGCAGTCTTGCACAGCACCAAAAATGGCCTTGGCTCTCTAGCTGTCTGCTATACTTCTGCTGACAGCAGAACACAGCATGGTATTAGCAGATTCCTGTGGGTGAAAGGGGTTATTGTCTTCGCTGGTTTAACAGTCAAAATCAGGACTTCAAATGGAACCAGAAAGGAATCAGATTAAGAATGAAGATGGCCTAGCATCAGCCTAATCCATGCTCTGATTTGAAAGTCTGGAATACTACCACGCCAGGTGCATTTTGGACCAACACCAGTTTTCAAAACAGCCTGCAAACTATCCACATTACAGTAACCTAACCTGAGTAGGACTAGGGTATTAATGAAGAAAATGAAGTCTGATGTCTGTAAGCTGATAGTTGGAACACCAGCCACATGTGGCAACTGATGCTCTTGGCCACTGCTGCCACGTGGGCAGCCTGATTTTAAGGGGGAATTTGTATCTGAAGCGGAGTGTGTGTCTCCTCCTGCATCATCAACAGCAGCCTCTCTGTTGTGTTTAGATGATTACAGCTTGTTTTAACTCATCCAACCCGAAGCTGATGTCAAACAGGACGTTCAGTGCTGCCCTTTGTTCAGAAGATGTAAATGGGAGTTGAAGCCAAGGGCTGGCAGCAGACCAAGGACAATCCCGTCCAAATCTCCAGATGGCTTTACCCCCTAGTTTCATGTAGAGGGCAGAATAGCAAGACAGACAAGCCAGACTCTTCTGACATCCAACAAACCAGAAGCCACAGGAGAGAGCCACCTGTTGGAATAGATCTTCCCTACTGTCTTAGCGCCATTCCAGTGATGTGATGTGGAAGGATACCATTGCCATGGCTGACAACCAGGAGAACTCTGCTCCCCCTAGAACCACCAGGGGGTCAAAGCAGGTCAAGCTATTTCTTCAGCGTTTCCTACCTGGAATACTACAGTCCAACAGTTCACTCACCTGTTAAGATGACTTGAATAACAATAGGCAGTTTATGAGCATCTGTGTGGAATGGTGCCACCTGTCCACAGCCAGACCTATGAACAGTTTGGGGTTTCGGCCATGTTGCTTCCATGCCTTCCACCAGACCACCCAAAGCAGAACATTTTGCAAGAGTTCTTTACTCCAGACTCGTATGAGATTCTCTCCCTGACAAATTCTTTGGAGGGAGTTGCATTGTTTATTCTTAGGAACCGTTTCGGTTTTACTCAATGTTGCATTGGTTTTGTTGCCTGGGCATGATGGAAGCTCAAGTCCAACATTTGGAGAACCACAGGTTCCAGTCTGTCTGAGACTCTTTCACTCCCCTGCAACAGTTACAGAGAAAAGTAGGCTGCATTTTATTTGTTTTATTATAAACACTGGATGCATGCAATTGCATCCAGCACTAAGTATGAAAACTTTCTTGCAATTCAGTGAGAAAAATGGAAGTGCTGAGATGATCACACCTTCAGAGAGAAGGATTCTTTGCCTGGACCAGCCAATCTAGTATGTTTCAGTAGCAAATAACACTACAGTCTTTGGCATAACAACTCGAAACTAAACCTTGTCCAATCCAATGAAATTTATTCACAGGTATGGGATTGCAGCCTATTCCTCCGGGAAGTTCATGAGCAAAATATGAAAGCAGTTGATGACTCTTGGGATTGCAAGTCCCAGCATTCCTGGCCAGTAGCCATGCTGGCTGGGGCAGTTGAGAATTGAAGTCTGCAACGCCTGGAGGGTACCTCATTAGAGAAACTGTAATAGCCCTTCCCTCTGTCTCTGGCAATCATACCATGATACCTTCATACATGGAAGTTCTCCAGCAGAAGGTAAGAGCTGTTAATTTTCTAATCCTTTTTTCAAAGAGGGAGGCCATTTCTACATCTTGCCATAGTGATTATCAATTATGCACTGTGGGAAGGGGTTGCTTAAACTTTCAGTTGGAAACAAGTACATAGCAAAAGCCTCATGCAATCTCAAAACCCAGCCATGTATCAGAAATACACCTTGATTAATTTCCTCCCATTTTATTTACTGGGAGAGCTGACACTCAATAAACGCTGATGTTTAAAACCTTTGGGTATTTATTTGCCTTTTAACCAATTTATTAAATTTCAGGTAAGTATGTCTTACCAGAGATTCCAGTAGTACTTAAACTAGCAAGATGAAGCCTTCCTGTGTTTTTAGTGCAGATCTGCTCCTCAAGCTGAGACAAGAAGACAGATGTCTGTGCAACTTTTCCACTGTTGGGTATATAACTCTACTGTAACCTCTATTGCTGTAGGACGCTTGCTGAAAATTAGTTTTATACATCTGCGTTTTCCTCCTGTAATGTGCATGCTTCTGATAACTTCTTGTCATCACAGATGGTGGAGTTTGTTATGCTCTTATCGAAAGTGCTGCAGCAAAGCTGTATTTTTCGGGCAGCTCTTACTAGCTATTTACAGCAAAGTAACATCAGAGCCTTGCAGTATATTTACCCAGAAAGACATACCAGACAGAGGCTTGTCTGACTGGCAATCATAACTTGCTATCTTGGGACTTTTCATCTAATTCCTGGGTCATGGAAGTTCTTTAGTTAGTTGGTGCAGAGGGAAAATGTACTCTGAACCTACATCAAAGTATTTAAAGATATTTTCTTTACCTGTTTGGAAGTTCTGCCTTAGCACCTTGCACAGGAGACTCTAGACTTGCTGACCAACCCTTCCATTGCTGCCTGCATGTCCTGCCCATAAACCAGAATGGGGGCACATTAAACGCAAGCCCTTTCTTGAGTCATGTACATTGGACAAGTCATCCGTGCAATGCACACTGCAAAATAAAGTGACCATTTCCCACAAGCTTATTGGGATGGTGGGGGACCCCTAATTATTTGCTTTTTTAGAGCACCATCACTTTAAAGGTACAATCCCACACATATTTAGCCAGAAAAAAATCCTACAATATGCCCAAAGTTGAAGGACTTTCTGTCTAAGCATACATGGGATTGCACCCTTAGGCAGCTGCCCAAGGCGTTTTCACAAACTCGGCGTACCCAAGTCAACAGGATTTATGTCTGGATACACACGCACGAAACTGCATTAGCACCTTGAGGTAAAAGCCTATTGCCCTCAGGTTGTTTGGACTAAAACTAGGAGCATTCCTGGCCAGTGGCTATGCTGGCTGGGGCTGATGGGAGATGGTGGGCAACAGCTTGTGGGAAGGCTTCAGTACTGTGTTTACGATTTTGACCCTATGCCTATAGTGTCACTCACGCCCCTGGTTTTCTAAGGGGGAAGGACAGTTTCTGGCATCTAGTTGTGTTTTTATCCTGAGATCTACCAAGGGTGGCCTGGTGCAAATGGAGGTCATCAACATGATCCAAACACAGTGTTGCTGAGCCCAGGAATTCATTCCGAGAGCGGTCCTGCCACACAAAAAGCTCTCCCGCAGAACCTCCAGTTTTATTACTACTTATAGTTATTAATTTCTGCACTCTAATGGAGTTATTAATTTCTGCATTCTAATGGAGATAGGGTAAGCGGCTTCGTTGCTATTGTAAGGCATTTGGGAGTCAGAAATCCTTGCCGATCTATTGCAGAACCATCCAAAGAACTACCGGGAAATCCTAAACTATCTTCAGCCAACCTCCGCTTTACAATATAAACAAAGATAGTTCTGATGCACACCCTAGAGAGGGCTGCATCCAACTTGCGTTCTGCTTAGAGTCGACCCACTGAAATGAATGGCACTTCAGACTAGTAGCGGATATTAACAATACAAAGACAGAGCGTGCGCTTTTCCATCTTGTCTACCCATCGCGCGATGCCCTTTCTCACGCTCCGTTCTCCGTTTCACTGGCCCGCTGATCCGAGGCGGAGGAGGAGGCAGGCCAAGCCCTGCTCCGCTTCAGCGGGAGCAGCAGCACCTGCCGTGTTTTGGGACGGGGTAGGGCAGAGCTCGGCTCCGCCGCGGCGCCGAGGAGAGTCAGTGCAAGGGCCCCCGGACGGCAGCAGAGGCGCTCAGGTCGCTCCTGGGCTGCGGCGGGACCTGCCGCGGTCGCCCCGCCGGCGCGCCTTCCTCTCGCAAAAGCTCGCTCAGCATGGAGATGTAGATCTGGGCCATCCGCAAGGTCTCCGCCTTGGAGAGCTTCTGCTCGCCTCGCAGCGCGGGCACGACGCTCCGCAGACGGTCGAAGGCCCCGTTGAGCAGCAGCATGCGCCTCCTTTCGCGGGCGTTGGCAGCCAGCCGCCGGCGCCGGCGCCCCCACGGCCCGCCTGGAGGCGTCCCGCGTCGGCTCCCGGTCCCGAGCGCTTGGCTTGGCGCACGCCTGCGCAGCTCTTCCGGCCGGCCCGCGGAGGCGTTTCGTGCAGCCCCGGCGTGCTCTAGGCGGCCCGATCCGGGGGGACGCCACAGATCGGGGCCCGTCCAGAAAGCGAAGGGCGGCTGGAAAGAGGCGGCGTTTCCCGGAGCCCGCGCGTCTCCATCGCTCGCTTGCGTGCGCAAAGACGCGGCGCGTTCAGTTGGGCTGCGCGGCTCCAACTCGGCGAGCCCCGCCGGCTGCTCTCGAGAACGGAGCAGTTTCGTTGCCGCGCCGAAGGAGAGATGGATTTCTGCTCTTTGGGTTTCCATTCCCCCCCGTCACCACCTCCTCCTCCTCCTCCTTTCCCCTTTCTCTGGAGGAGAACACGTGCGAATGTCTACTTCAGGCTTGTGGGGCGGCTTGTTTATATTGCCAAGTTGGAGTGGGGGATAAAGGAGACACGTGGAGAAGCCCACTGGGCGGCGAAATGGGGGCTAAACAAAACCACCGGGGTTCAAAGCTCAGCCGTGACAAGTTTTGTCACTTTTCAAAAGAAGAAAGGCGGGGGAGGAAAGTCTATCAAGTGAGCGCTTTCAATTTGGATTAGTCTCTCTCGAGTGATCCTCTGAAGTGTGGCTCCAGGAATCAAAAGAGGCGTTAATCCTCTAATCTAAAATGTAATTAGATCAGGCGGTCTCCCTCTCTCTCTTCCAGATGGAGGGATCACATGCAGTTTTGCGTTTGGAAAAAAGAACCATTTCCAAAGTCCCATTCCCCTGGAAGGCCTGAAGAATGATGAGGATTCTTTAAAGAAATGACCTGCTTAAATAGAACCATATTATATTATACTTATATATTTCTATCTTGCCTTTTCCCGCTCTTATGAGGAAAATGGAGCAGCTTACATAGCTCCATTTTATCCATACAATGACAACCCTGGGAGTTAAGTTGGCCTGAAAATCCGACTGGCCCAAAGTCACCTGGTGAGATTTCTAGGTGAATGGGGGCTTGAACCCGGGTCTCCTGGGTCTCCAACATGCTCACCACCACAGAACACTGGCTGGTAACCACACTGCTAGTAACCTGGCAGTCACTGGGTTATAAAGGCACCTGCAATTTCCCTTCATTTTGCCAAGTTTTGAAAGGTGGACGACTTAGGTACTGCAAGTAACTGTGCCCGTTAGGTCTCAGCTGTCACCCAGTGTCATAACCATAGATATGTTTAGATAGATACCTGCATAAGCATCAGTTCTGAAGTACAGTTGTTTGCCCCATAGCCATATCCTCTGCAACAACCACAAAAGAACATTAAGAGTGCAATTCTGTGCATGCCGAGACAAGGAATGGTCCTGCTGAGTTGTAGGAATTTTCTTTCTGGCCCAACCTATGCTGGATTGCACTCTTTTTTTTATAATAAGTTTTATTCAAAATAACCCTAAAACAAAGGAAAACTGAAAACAATATCAATCATCAGAAACACCGGACCTGCTGGGTCAGCCCCACATTCTTTTCTATTTATGATAACTTAAAAACATTTAAATTTATACGAAGTCCCGTTTCTCTAGCCAATAATAAAAAGTCCCAATCAGTATCTTCTTTCTCCTTCAATGACAATCTGTCCATTTCTGCACAGTCCAAGATCTTTTTTAGGATCAGTTCATCGGTGGGTGATTCTTCACTTTTCCAGTGTTGAGCAAATGCAATCCTCGCCTCAGTAATTACATGTAAAATCAAGTACATTTCTTGTTTACTAGTATCAACGGGTATAATGCCTAATAAGAAAACTTCAGGTTTAAAAGCTAAGGATTTTTGTAACATTTCCTCAAGCCATTTATGTATTTTAATCCAATACTTTTTCGCATTATTGCAAGTCCACCACATATGATAGAAAGTACCCAATTTATGTTTACATTTCCAACATCCATTTAACATATTTGGAAACAGCTAATCTATTTGGTGACAGATACCATCTATAAAACATTTTATACAGGTTTTCTTTATATGAAGTTGCTAATGTTACCTTAATATTTCTCTCCCACAGCTTTTGCCATTTTTCTAATTCAATATTATATCCAAAGTTTTGTGCCCACATTATCATAGTTTCCTTAACCTGTACATCTTCCATTCTCCTATCTTGTAAGAAATTATATAGTCTTTTAATCATTTTCTCATCTGATTTAAGCATCACCAGGTCAAATGCTGTACAATCTTTATAAAAGCCCCACATTCTATAGTCTTTAGCATATCTTGATTGTATCTGCACCTTATGCCACCAAGAAATATTAGATCCTTGTTCTTGTATTCCTTGATTCAATTGCAATCCTCCATCATTATCCAAAATGTCGTCATATCTTATGATCGCTTCAAAGTTCAATGCTTTTGGATATACAAGAGCTTCCATAGGTGAAAGCCATCTTGGTAATTTATTATACAATTTTGTCTTTAACTTTTCCCACACCGACATTAACGATTTCCTAATATAATGACTTAAAAAAGAGCCATGTACCTTAGCCTTTTCATACCACATATAAGCATGCCAACCCATTTGCAAATCATGCCCTTCAGGATACAAGATTTTCTTATTTCTTAAAGTTATCCATTCTGCAGGATTGCACTCTTAATGGAACATACCCAATTTCTTGGAGTGAATGGTTGGTGACTACATCCCTGGTATATTGAAATGCATCCCAGGTGGAGCTTCAGCTGGGTGCCAGGTATTCTTGGGGTTTTGCTGCAGGGCCCAAAGAGAATTTTCTGACCTTTCTGTGCCTGCAGTCCAGTGACTCCTGCTTATTCCAGTCCAGGTCCTATCATTCGCTGCCATCCCATTCGCTCAGCACACCTGCAGTCCTTCCACAGCAAGGCGAGGAGGGATGCTGTGAGCAAGGAGTGAAGCCCTCCCTCCCACTGCATGACAAGGGTGGGGGGCTTGGAGGAAGTGGTGAACAATGTTATGATGAGCTTTCAAAAGGGCGAGGCAGGCTGCCCTCCCATGGGAGCTAACGAACACATTCATGCAACCCTTTAAGCCCCAGGGTGGCTCTGTAGTTTGGGAATTGTACATTGTCTGGGAGAGGCTGGGGGGCAGGAGAACAATTTATCCATACTTTAAATAAAGTAGCGTGTTATCATTCAGTCTCCATTGGGCTATGGAGAAGCAAATGTTGACAAGGGGCAGCTCTTCCCACAACGGAGGGACAGCTTGAACCTCCTAGAAGTCGCAGGAACTTTCCAGGCGAGTCTGTTGGATGGGCTTCTTTTCTCTCATTAGTGCTACTTGCGATTTTTAAATTTTTATTCCCTGTTTGCATGGGGGAGCTTGGGAGTCGTAGTCCAACACTCCTGGAGGGCACCTGGCTGAGGAAGGTCGACTTGGCTGCAGCCGCATGCCCACGGTCAGGAAACACTCCCATGACTCCCATCCCAACTGGCTGGAGGATGCCGGCAGCTGTAGGAACACCCTACGCATGCACTGGATGCACCCTTGGCCTTGGCGGGTAACCAGTTTAAGTCTGCTGGCTGCTGTTCAGCAGTGACAAAGAATACCCAACTTGGGGAAGTTTCCAGGGACGATGCTGGGAGCAGCCTCCCTCCTTTTCCTCTGTGAATCAGGCTGAAGCAACTGCTTGACTGGCAACCTGCAGTTGGCTACCGAGGTCTCAGCCTGAGGCCTTCTTAAATTGTCACCAGACTGACCTTTGTCCTCAGCCTGCTGACAGTAACGTTTATCAGTACCGTCACTGCGATCTCAAAGAGGCAGAAAAAGGCAGAGGGTGTGTGAGAGAGAGAGAGAGGATGAGAGGGATGATTCCTTTCTCCCCGCCATGTTTGTTAGGAATCCCACCATGCTGCAGAAATCAAATGTCTTGTGGGGAAGCCTGGCTTAATGAAAGGTCACTCCCGGGCCTCATTCCATATTAACTACTTTGAGAGGGCTTTGCTCTCTCCTGGATCTCTTCCAAGCATTTATGAAAAATTAACAGCTCAGCTGGAAGAAGTGCCACCAACTCCAACCCTCTCCTGTTAGCATGAGGTTTGTACTTAAACCAAAGTGATGCCCCAGCAGTTGCAATGTGTGTGCAGGAGCGTTGTCTGCTAAATCTGATGTTAAAAAAGACATGCCTGGTGGGTTTCATATATGCTGGAAAATAAAAAATGGCATTGCTGTATTGCGGGGGTGTGGCCCTTGTGCCAATTTGGCCTATAGCTCCCATCAGCCTTCACCATGGGTTGTGGTGGCAAGGGCTGATGGGAGGTGTAGGCCAAAGTATCTGTAAGAAAGGGGACAAGGAAACATCAAAAGGCCAAGGTGCTTACTGTTCCCAAACAGAAGAGGAAATATTCTCAGGTGCCCCAAAAAGCATTTTATTATGAACAATGTGCTTAGACTTTCCTTCCTTTAGGGGCTTGTTATCTTTCTCCAAAGGTGTTGCAAAAAATCTTTCTGCTGCTACTTTTGTTTTACGGTGTCCATCCCTGTAACAAGTTCAAGACCACGGTTTTGACTTGCAGTTCCAGTAATGCACAGCCATACATCAGGAGATTCTGGGAGTCTGTTGGGGGCAGCAGAACCAAAAGTGGGGAGGACCACCCATTTTTCCCCTCTTTGCCACTGCATTCCCCCCCCTTCTGTCTTCTATCCCATTTTTCTTTCCCCACTTTCTCTCTGCCAGCCAATTTTTCCTTCT